GTTACTGGGCCAAAGAGGGCCAGAGAGCTCTAGATCTGCACTGTCCTACGCAGCCTTGTGTGGTTATTTAAATTTAAATGAATGAAAATTAAGTAGAATTTAAAATTTGGCTTCTCACTCACATTAACCACATTCCCAGTGCTCGATAGGTGTGCGCAGTTAGTAGCTACCCTATGAGACAGTGCAGCTAAAGGGCACTTCCATCAGCACAGAAAGTTCTCCAGGACACGGCCTTTCTAACTCCAGAGTCTCCTGCCACCATGTTAGTGCTCCTGCCCAGAACTAACTTGCATCCTTCTTTTTGTAACTTGCACGGCATCCACAGTCCTACTATGTGCCCACAAGGGGGAAAGAATCAGAAGTATCTGGGGGAACAAATGACCACCAAAGAGTGGATCCTGAGTCAGATTTTGGATCAGAATGTGGAAGGGGAGAACATGAAAGATCACCCAGACAGACAGAGGGCAGCTTGTGGGGAACTCGAGCTGCTCTGTGTGCCCTATGACATTACTTCCCAACCCCAGGCCTTGACCCTGCCCAGAAAAAAATGCCCTTATACAGTGGTCTAGGGGCTACATGCCTGACAGAGGGTAGGGGTGAGGGAGACCGCAGGAGGGATTCAGGTTAATCTTATGGATAAACTCTTCCTCTGGTCAGGAACCTTGAAGGCATTCACAGAGGTAGGGGGTTAAGAAGTCTCTCCTGGGTAGAGCGTGGCAGAAGCAGACTGATGTGTATCATGAGGTTAGAACAGTTCTGTGCCAAGGCTGGTGCATGGCAGAGATGACCTCTAAAGGATCCTGCTCCATTGGAGAATTGGCCCAGAAAACCAGGCCTGGCCCTCCCCCCTGCCTTTCCTGTTCACTTTAGCTAAATAGATCAGAAGGAAAAAGTCTGTTTGATTTTAACCTCAATGCAGGACACTGGAGATTACATTTTCCACGGAAAATGTCAGCTGTTGCCTAAAATAGGACGAGGGAGAAAAAGCTAGAAAATGTATTTTTACTGTTCATCATCACTAGCCATCAGGGAGATTCAAATTAAAACCACATTGAGATATCACCTTACACCAGTTAGAATGGCCAAAATTAGCAAGACAGGAAATAACATGTGTTGGAGGGGATGTGGAGAAAGGGGAACCCTCTTACACTGTTGGTGGGAATGCAAGTTGGTGCAGCCTCTTTGGAGAACACTGTGGAGATTCCTCAAGAAATTAAAAATAGAACTTCCCTATGACCCTGCAATTGCACTACTGGCTATTTACCCCAAAGATACAGATGTAGTAAAAAGAAGGGCCATCTGTACCCCAATGTTTATAGCAGCAATGGCCACGGTTGCCAAACTGTGGAAAGAACCAAGATGCTCTTCAATGGACGAATGGATAAGGAAGATGTGGTCCATATACACTATGGAGTATTATGCCTCCATCAGAAAGGATGAATACCCAACTTTTGTAGCAACATGGACGGGACTGGAAGAGATTATGCTGAGTGAAAGAAGTCAAGCAGAGAGAGTCAATTATCATATGGTTTCACTTATTTGTGGAGCATAACAAATAGCATGGAGGACATGGGGAGTTAGGAGAAGGGAGTTGGGGGAAATTGGAAGGGGAGGTGAACCATGAGAGACTATGGACTCTGAAAAGCAATCTGAAGGGTTTGAAGAGGTGGGGGGGGTGGGAGGTTGGGGGAACCAGGTGGTGGGTATTAGAGAGGGCACGGATTGCATGGAGCACTGGGTGTGGTACAAAAACAATGAATACTGTTATGCTGGAAATAAATTAAAAAAATGATTAAAAAAAAAGAAAATGTATAGGTTATATGTTTCCCTCCTGGGTTCCTGCAGTCCGGTGGGCTGCTTGATACTCTCCATGGTTCAGCTGCCAGGTGCCCCAGGTCTTCCTCACCGATGGTTTTGGGAGAGGGCTCCCACAGGAAAACTCTTTGCTGATACTTGAGTGAAAAACAGGTGGGCAGATACAAGGACCTGTGTCAAGAAGGAGGAAGAAGAAGGGAGAGCCAACCTAGGGTAGGGGCTCAGAGTCTGCATTGCTGACAAGCTCCCAGGTGATGCCAATGCTGCTGGCCTGGAAACTGTACTCAGCAGCAGGGCTCAGGTAGGCTCAGTCTGGGAGGCGCCCCAGACAGGCCTCAGCAAGACCTAAGCTCAGCCTATGGAGAGAGAGGCCCATTGGAATCCACCCTTTGAGGCCCAGCTCCTGCCTCTTCCCATAGACCTGCCTATTTGCTGTGTGATCTTGTTCAAGTCATGTTTCCACCCTGGATCTCAGTTCTTGCAGCTGTGAAACAGGGTAAACACCTATCCTGTCATCCTTTGGGCTGTTGGGAAGGAAGATTCAAAGACTTCAGGTACCCAGGTAGCCCACTCTGTCTGGAATAAAAAGTGATTCAGGAAATGTAAGAGATAGAAATAGAGCTTGTAAAGTGACAGCAGGTCCTGATGGTGTTTGGGAACATCATTCCTCAGAATGTTCTGTGGGTTGCAGACTGGACATATGGGATGCAGCTTGCCCCAAGTAGAGGGGCTGGGAGGGGACAAGTTGAGACTCAACCTCCAGGAACTGAACCATGACAGGTTAGACACTGCCTGGGATGCTGGCTGCTGAGGTCATGTCGGAGGGAACCCACATAGGGCAGGGCTCAGCTGTCTGGCCTGGCCATGCTGTAGACCTTACCTCAGTGCTCCTGGAGGAGCAGGTATGTCAGAGGTGGCTTGGACTGATGTTCTCAATTTGAGGGAGGGACTCCCTTGCTGTGGCCATGTGGGGCCTTGAATAGGATTGTGCAGCCATCTGAGAAAGAGCACTACAGGGGAGCTGTCAACTTACTGTGATCTCAGTGGTCCCGTCTCTCCTCCAGTTTGCTCCATTACTCCTCTGTACATGGGGGAGGGACTAGAAGGGCCCTCCTGGCTCTGGTCTTGTCAGGCCATACCAGATCTTCCTTAACCAGGGTGGGATGAAGTGAGTGGAAGAATGGAAGCCTCTGGGCTAAGACCATCCATTCTGTGACCTCAGAGAGCTGTGGGAGCATATCTAGACCATTATGATGGCCCGGGTAGGCACAGCTGGGAGAGACTACTGAGACTTCTCCATGGTCCTACTACATAATTCAGTATTTCTCTTCTCTCCTCATGGCTTCTGTGGCTGCCTGGATCCTGCAGAGCTCCCAACTGAGGAAGGTGAGTCTTGGGCCAGGGCGGGCTGCAAGGCCTTGAGCCATTCACTCTCGGGTTGTGTCCCTCCCTCTCCCCAACAGAGTGAGGATTTGCTGACACGCACCCCCCACCAGTATCACCCACCTATGCCTCTAAGGCCTCAGGCTCTTGCTCTTTGAATGGTAGGGAGGGAGTGGGCCAGGTAGTCTCCTAGGTGGTCCCAGCTCTGAATGAGGGTAGGTCAGTTGGTAAGGGACCCAAGGTTTACATGGTGCTCCGATTCTCAGGGAAGTCCCTGTGGGAGCTGGTGCTGAAACAGTTTGAGGATCTCCTGGTGTGCATCCTGCTGTTGGCTGCCCTGGTCTCCTTCTTAAGTAAGGCCTCATCACACAGCATCAGAAATCCTGGAAGGGAAAGCAAGGTTGGGGCAGTGCTCAGAGGCCCAGACTCTGAACCAGAGGTCTGTTCTCTCAGCCATGGACATCCCTGGGCCTCTACCCATCCCCTTCCTTGCTCAGACTTCAGCTTCCCTTGCCTGAACCCTCAAAGCCTGCCCCCTACACACTGGACTGCTCCCATCTGTCCCCTTCCACTCTGGCTGTCAGAGTGAGCTTTCAGAAGCACATGTATGATCCCTGCCCCTCCCCGTCTTAGGGCAAGCTTTCTCAACCACAGCGCTGTTGACATTTTGGACCAGATAATTCTTTGTCTGGAGGCTGTCCTATGAGCTCGGGAATATTTAGAAGCATTCAGAAGCATTCTGGACCTCTACCCACCAATGCCAGTGGTACCGCCCAGTTGTGACAGTCTAAAGTCTCCAGATATTGCCAAATTATCCCTCGTGGAGAGCCCCTTCCATGGCTCCCAGTGCCCCACAGAAGAATTTGGGTCTTAACCTCTTACAGCTTGTCTGTGGCTGCTTTCCTTTTGCCCTTCCCCCATTCTTACTGCCTGAACCCCTCCTGGACCTTGCTGGACCATGGGGAGGTGGAACAGTACTTGTCACTGATGGCTGAGCAGCAGAAATCCAAAGGTAATGCAGGGAAATGGCCACCTTGAGAGTGGATGCAGTTCCTGCTCTTGGCCCTGTGCCCAGCAGGGCCTGGGGAGGAGACCTCATGTTGGTGACATGGAGTGCAGGGAAGCAGGGGCCCAGCCAGCTGTGTCTGGCCTTCCTGGCAACTGTTCTTGTGGAAACTGATGACTCTTACAGAGAAAAAAGCCTGTCAGTGCAGGTGCCTTATAACAGCTTAGCTAAAATGGTGTCAGCACCCCTCCACAGTTCGATGGACACTCTGAGACCTGTGGAAGGGAGTGAGAAGTACCCACTTGGGCCAAGAGGTGGGAACAGGACTTTAACCAGGTATTCTACCTCTAGGCCTGGGTTCTGGTTGGAGTTATGCCTCTCTGGCCGATGGACTTCAAAATGAGCCTGTAGCGGGAGCACCTGGGTTTGCTAACACACAGACTGCTGGGCCTCACGTCAAAGTTTCTTACACAGGAAGACTGGGATAGGCCCTGAGAATTGTGTTTTTAGCAAGTTCCCAGGGGATACTGTGGTTGCCAGTCTGGCATCAAACTTGGAAAACCACAACTAGGCAGAGAGACCTCCAGCTGTACAACTGCCCCACATCCTGAAAGTTGGCTGGGTGGGGCATGAATGGTGGCAGTCACTACCTACAGATAAACCAAGGCCTCAGTGCAGCCTTCTCCCAGCCCAGGCCTCCCCAGGGCTATGTCTTCCAAGGCAGGAGGCAGCAGACCCAGGGTATAAAGGAAATAGAGAGCAGCCCCTGGGCCACAGAAGAACCCCAGCTCACCAGCTCTGACTCCATGGGTCCTGGCCTGCTTCGAAGAGGGCGAAGAAACCACAACAGCCTTCGTGGAGCCCCTGGTCATCATGCTGATCCTTGTGGCCAATGCTATCGTGGGCATATGGCAGGTGGGAGGCACAGAGGTGGGCCTGGGCCTTCAGGTGTCCTGGCTGTTCCATGTGACCGCCACTTGGTGTTAAGAGTCCTGCAGCTCCATCCCTGGCCCCAGGGATGTCATTCTAAGGGGTCAGCCTGCAAGGGCCAGTGAGGGCAGACCACCTACCTGCCTCCTGTTCTATAGGAACGCAATGCTGAGAGTGCCATTGAGGCCTTGAAGGAGTATGAGCCTGAGATGGGCAAGGTGATCTGCTCAGACCGCAAAGGTGTGCAGAGGGTCCGCGCCCAGGACATCGTCCCTGGAGACATTGTAGAGGTGGCAGGTACACTGGGGGTGTCTTTCCATTATGTGATGCTGGTGAGCCCTTCCCTCTCTATACTCCCATTTTTCTGGCTATATACACAGAGCAGGGAGCTGTGGGATCCTTCCAAAGCTCTTCAGCCAAAACCTCGTTGGACAGATCAGGACACTGTGAGTGAAGGAGCAGCGTCTATCTCAGGGATCATAGCCTAGGCCCCTACCTCTCACTCTTGGTTCCTGGCAGTCCTCCTGGCTCTGCCAAGGGGTGGTGCCCAAAGCCACACTCAGCCACTCTCTCCACAGTGGGAGACAAAGTACCCGCTGACCTCCGCCTTATCAAGATCAAGTCCACCACCCTGAGAGTGGACCAGTCCATCCTGACAGGTGAGGCCCAGAGACCAGGGCTGAGCAGGGCTGAGCAGGTCCAGGCATGGGGGTGTCTTCATGTAGGGTTTCCCATTTCTGATTCCATGACCAGGTGAATCCATGTCTGTCACCAAGCACACAGATGCCATCCTAGATCCCAGAGCTGTGAACCAGGACAAGAAGAACATGCTATTCTCTGCAAGTTCCTGGGATGGCTTGGGCCTTTGTCTGGACACTGATAGTAAAAACTTTAACATTCAATCAGTTAAAGCCCTACAAGAATGAACATAATCAATTATTGACAATATGTACAAATTTATAGTACTGGTAACAGCTTATGTTTACTCAAGGCTGTGTGCCTGCGACTGTTCTAAGCCCTTTACGTATATTTAGTCCTCACGGTGCTTTTAAAATAAGTACTCTTGTTATTTGTATTTTCCAGGTCACACAGCCAGTGAATGGTAGAGCTGGGATGTGAACTCAGACATTCTGACTCCAGAGCTTTTCCTCTTACCTGCTAGGCTTATCCTGCTTTAAGCTGGAGAGGGACAGAGCTAGCCTATAATCACCCAATGGAGATTCCTCTAGTGATAAGGGTTGCCAAAGTGGTGGAGTCCATTTCTCAGATGGGAAAACCAGCTCAGCGCTGGTGGGCATGATAGGCCTCTGGGGCCTCAGAGAGAGCACTGATGCTTATAAGCTGCCCAGAAACAACCTGAAGCTGAACACGGAAGCCACAAGGATGGGTCAGGCCATTTGGCCATGGCCCAGGGCACCAAGTTATAAGGCTAGAAAACATCCCCAGAAGCGGACAGAAATGGAGAAAACAATATTCACCCAGAGTTCTTAAGGAGACCCCCCACTGCTTAGATGTATGGAAGCCTTAGACAAGCTGCTTTGAAGTGGGGAGGGGACTCTACAAGGCAAGATCAAGCATCAGCACCTGTCACTAGGCAGCTTTCTAAGGAAGACGCTCTGGCTAACTGCAGATTATTTCCTGGCTGAGGGGCTTGCAAGTGGGTGGAGGCATGGGGGAATGGAAGTTTCTTTGCTCAGGACTAAGGAAGAGAAGCTGAGGTTACGAGAGGTCCCTACCTTTTCTCCAGCCTCAGCACAGGGCACCTTTCTGAAGGGTACCACGTCATTAGCCTCCTTGGAGCAGCTCCTTTCTTGAACCATTTTATAGAAGAGGACACAGAAGCTCAAGGCTAAGTAGCCTTTTTACCGGGACTTAGGGATTTTATGCGGGCCTTGGGAGTGGATGGACTTAAGCTCAGATTTTCTGGATTCTTCAGCAAATATTTACAGATCATTTACCTAGATCACAGTCAGCCTGGCACTCCCATGTGGCCACGTTGGCTTTTTACAAATCACATTTTTATAGGTTGGTATTGTGCTGTGCTAGTCGGTCACATAGTCTGTATTGGTCCAGTGCTTCATGTGCCAGGCCTCATGATACGCACTGGGGATACAGTGCTGAACCAAGTCCTTGCCTTCATGGAGCTAACACTGTCATGGGGATGACAGCCACGGCTTAGCACTAGATAGCTTCATAAGCCTGGGAGCATTGAGTGACATGGAGAAAAAAACAAGCCAAGTAGGGGGATAGGAATGCTATTGTAGCCTGAAGAGGTCAAGGGGTCCCAGGCCCCTGCTGGGATGCTAAGCAGCCCTCCTTGTCTCTCTGTTGGCCAGGGCACCAACATTGCATCAGGGAAGGCCCTGGGCATGGCAGTGGCCACAGGCCTGCACACAGAGCTGGGGAAGATCAAGAGCCAGATGGTGGCAGTTTAGCCAGAGCAGACGCCACTGCAGCACAAGCTGGATGAGTTTGGGCGGCAACTATCCCATGCCATCTCTGTGATCTGTGTGGCTGTGTGGGTCATCAACATTGGCCACTTTGCCAACCCGGCCCATGGTGGCTCCTGGCTCTGTGGCGCCATCTACTACTTGGTGGCTCCTGGCTCTGTGGCGCCATCTACTACTTCAAGATTGCCATGGCCCTGGTGGTGGCCGCCATCCCTGAGGGCCTCCTGGCTGTTATCACTACATGCCTGGCTCTGGGCACATGGCGTATGGCACACAAGAATGCCATTGTGCGGAGCCTGCCATCTGTGGAGACCCTGGGCTGCACCTCCGTCATCTGCTCTGACAAGACAGGCACCCTCACCACCAACCAGATGTCTGTGTGCCAGGTCAGTGGCTGCAGCCAGCTTGGGGTCCCACTGGTGTTGCTGTGTGATGCTCAGCAGGCTGAACTCCTTCTTGGGGCTTCCTCCAACTCCTTTTTGGCAGGGGATGGAGGAGAGAACCTGTGGGCTGCCCGCAAGGTGGGGAGCAGATCCAGTTTTTCATGGGGCAGAGCAGCAAGGTCTGGCCAGATGAGTATCACTAGGACCCAGATGTCACTGTACGGCCCTGGCAGGTCATTGTCTGTGAACCTCAGTTTCTTCATCTGAAGTTTGGGTATGCAAGCTTGGACAGACAACCATAAAGGATACTGCAGAGGGTCAACTACAGCCTTGGCATCTGAGCCAAGCTGGGCCTGGACCCAACCAAGTTCTGTCCCGCTCCTCCATCACTCCACAGTTGATGCCTGTCACCAGTCACCAGATATGCCAGCACCAGTGACCTGGGCAGGGCTGGGAAAGGAATTATTCATTTCCTGGCCTTCAATTCCAGATCCTGGGCTTGTTGCCTGTATGTTCCAGGCATTCTGGCTGAAACTCCAGTAGGCCTATGGGGCAGAGGGGTGGGTGGGTAGTGGTGAATGCTGTGGGTTTCCCACCCCTCTTAGATGCCCAGTCATTCTTCTTCCACCTCTGCTCCCATGATCTGCCCACTGGGAAACTCAGACTCTGTATCCAAAACCTTGAAGCCCAAAACCTTGGGGAAGGGGAAGGAAGCCCTGCCACAGGGGAAGGGGCACAAGCAAGTTTTATATTCTGCGTCCCCTGACCTGTAAAATCTCTAGGAGGACTTCATTGGAACAGAGTGTTCCTTCATTAAAATAAAGGTTTGAAAAACATACTACAGGGAAGTTGTAGAGGCATTACTTGCTGGGAGGGGTCCGAAGAAACTTGACTTCTCAGGAGGTATGCTGGCTGGAGGGCTTCTCTCCAGTCCCCTCAGGAGTAGGGAGGGGAGCACGAAAGAAGGGGCATTTGTTGAGCACCTACTGTGTGCTGAGCTGGCCATTGACTTGGAAATGTACACCAAGGCAATTTCTAGGAAACAAGAATTATCTCCTTGGTAAAGCTGGCTTTCAGGCAAGAAAATGGGCCACCCTGGGAGGGGTAAAGCCCTGACACTGAGGTGCACAGGTAATGGCTGGGTGACCCAGCAGGCCCTGTAGGCAAGAGCTCGCTGTCTGAGAACACCTTTGGGCAGGAGTCTGTGTCTCAGAGCAGTATGTGGGTTTCCACCCTTAGAGGCCAGGAACTCATCCTTTCAAGGGGAAAAGAGGGGCAGCTATACTCGGATCCCACTCTCTTCTCCTGTTACCAGTGGAGAAACTAAAGCTCAGGTGCTCAGCCAGGAGTCACATGACAAAATGGGCAAGGATCCAGGCTTCCTACCCCATGTGAGGGCTCCATCCAGGACACTGAAGAATCTGCCATATACCCCTCAGGGGTCCAGAGCAGAGGTCCTGCCTTGGCCTGAACCCAACTCTTCCAGACCTTGGCAGGAGGGAAGGCCAACAGCTTCTTTAGGGGCCCAGAGGACCCCACCTTGGGTCAGGCTTTATTCAGAGTGGCTGCCCAAAGAGGAGAGAGGTGAGGGCTTGCCTAAGCATGCCTCTGTGCTCCCCAGATGTTCGTGGTAGCTGAGGCTGAAGCAGGCTCCTGCCGTTTGCACGAGTTCACCATCTCAGGCACCAATTATGCCCCAGAAGGTGAAGTGTGAGTGCTGGCCAAGGGGTTGCAGGTGGGCAGGGTTCCCCGGTGACCTGGGCTACACCAGAGAGCTCAGAGAGCTGTGAGTGGGCAAGACTTCCTGGGGTGGGACCGAGAGGCCATGCACCTCCCAGGGATGGGGACAAATGCCCTTGTACCAAGACCCAGCCCCACAGGAGACAGGAGGAGTGGCTCGTGCGCTGTGGGCAATTCGATGGGCTGGTGGAGCTGGCGATGATATATGCCCTGTGCAATGACTCAGCGCTGGACTACAGTGAGGTGGGACCCAGCTCTCTTCTGTGACCTCACTAGTGTCCAGGTGCCCAGGACAGACCATTCTCCCAGAGTCTCAAAACTCCCAGGATTGGCAGTCCCTGCCCCTTTGGAGTGCCACACCCCAGGAACACTGCCACCCCTGAACACCCCCGCTGCCCCTCCTTTTGCACACTGGCTTTGAAGCTGTTCCCTAGGGCTCTTGGGCTGTGGAAGACTAATGTAAAGGACTGTAGTGCCAGGGTGTCTAGAGGAAAAGATTTGGGAAATAGGACTAGAGAGGGTGTTTAAATTAGAAGACACAGCCCAGGAAAGTCCCACAAGTCATAACCTGATGTGATGTAGGCAGTAAATGCCCTTACCTGCTGCTGGAGCAATGGAATGGAACATGCATGAAGATACTCCTGCCTGGGGAAAGGACTTGACCAGACCAAATCACGTTCCATAATAAGCTGAAGGCAGTAGACAGCCACCAAGTGGTTTTGAGCAGGGAAGTGATATGGTCAGAACTGCATTAACAAAAGATCACCTGAGCTTCTGTGTGGAGGATGGAACAGACGGGGCAAGACTGGATTCAGGAGCCCCTGTGTGGTCCTCCAGGTCAGAGAGTTGTTAGCTAGGGCTTCAGGGAAAGGGAAGAAAGCTTGGGTTAGAGATTTAGGATGTGACTTGGTGACTAGGTAGGTGAAAGAGAGAGAGGGTACCTCCTGGTTGCTGTCCTGGCTGGGACAGTCACTGGAGTGGCAAATATAGGGAGAAGGGGAGGTGACTTGAGGGTCACTAAGGAACCAAGTCCAACAGGCAGCAGTTAGATATGTGGGCTTGGAGTTCAAGGGAAATGTCACTGCCAGGCTGGGCACTGGAAGTCAAGCACATGAAAAGTGGGGAAGCATGGGGTATATGAGGCCTCAGGAAGAAAAGGTGGGAGAGAAGGAGCAGGGCCTGGACAGCAGAGTCTAGAAAGAGGAATGTGGGGAATTTGGGGAAGGAGGCTGAGAAGGAGCCTGCGGAGAGAGAGATGGATGGCAGGAAGGATCCATGTTTACTGATGCCTGGGTGGGCAGGGGGCGCGGCATGGTCAGAAGGGAAGGAAAGTCTCAGTGTCAGACACTACTCAGACCCCATGTCAGCTGGACTGGGAAGGGCCCCACTGGCTTGGTGCAAAGGAGGTTAGAGGTAACTGTGGTAAAGGGAGCTCCAGGGGTCAGGGAGTGAGTGGGAGGTAAGGCTTGGGGGTCCCCTGGAGGAGACCCTGCTATTCACACCCTGTATTCTGGGCCCCACCAGGCTAAGGGCATGTATGAGAAGGTGGGAGAGGCCACAGAGATGGCTCTGACTTGCCTGGTGGAGAAAATGAATGTGTTTGACACCAACCTATAGGCCCTATTGCTGGTGAAGCGAGCCAGCGCCTGCAATGGGGTGAGCAGAGTGAGGGCTCCAGCCGCAGGCCTTGTAGCTGGGCTTCTGGGCATCTAGAGAAGAAACAGAAAAGGACAAGGTCTTGGGAGGTCTCTGGGAGGAGGACGGACCTCAGACCCTAATAAGACTTGGCTAGAGAGAAAAGAAAGGAAAAGACTGAGTATGGGCAAGGACCCAGAGTTGGGAAGTGCACAGCATGGTCAGGAAGTGACAACCTTGTGGCATTTCTTAGGCTGAAGAGGGAGATGGGGGCTCAAATGTCAGGATGAGAGAAGGGATAGACACCATCCCACAGGGAACAAGAGGCTCTTTTCCAGGCAGCTGGAAAGAAAGCAGTTAGGGCTCCTGGCTCTGCCCCTCACATCCTGACCCTTCTGACCCCTATAGGTCATCAAGCAGCTGATGCAGAAGGAGTTTACTTTGGAGTTCTCCTGAGACAGAAAGTCCATGTCCGTATACTGCATACCTACTAGCCCTGGCCTGGCGGCCCAGGGCAGCAAGATGTTTGTGAAGGTGGGAACTGCCTAACTGGCCTGGAGCTTCTGTGCATGAGGAGTCCCTGGGAGAGCTGATCTTCAATCCTCTGACGAGCTAGTGACTATAATTATGGGGGACAGAGGGAGGTGTGAGGCCCATTGTCAAAGCAGTGAATCTGGAACGAGGGTGGTCAGCCCGCCATGGGGAAATGGGGACAGGATCCAGTCTTGGTGGAGATAAAGCCAGAGCCAGGCACCAAGGCCTGCCACTCACCATGGTCCCAGCTCTAGACTGAGAAGCATTGCCTTGTCACATGACTTTGGGGTCTCCTATGCTCCTCCATGGGCCTCAGTCTCCCCATCTGAATGGCAAGATTAAGCTGGAAGGTCTCAGAAGGCTTTCACCTCTGAATGGGGTATTGAGGTAGTTGGTGCCCATCTTTGGTGCTACATGTTCTGGAAACTGAGTCCTAGGGAGGGAAGTTTCTCATCTAGACTTCTGCCCATCGCAGGGCCTCTCACTGCTTTTCAACCTGAAGTAGGAATGACAGCCCTAACTTCACAATGAAATGGAGGTCCTAACCCCTTTTGAAATGAAAAGTCTTCTGTATTGGGATCTCAGGCCACTTTGAAAACTTAGCATTTGGGGTGCTCTTTGGAGGAGAGGGAGGAGGCATTGATGGAGCATTCAGAAGCTATTCCCAAGGTGAGAATAGGAGCAAGACCCCAAGGTGAGACTCCAAGGCTGCTGAGGAACCTGTCACCCCCAAGAATACCTTCCCAGAGCCACACCTTCAGCATGGCTCTATTTCTGGTGCCCAGGCAGGGCTCAGCCTGCCTCCCGTTGCTGAGACCCCTACAGAGTTGGGATCCCAGCAGTACTGGATTGGCAGTGTGGCAGTGCCTGTAGGAGGGCTGCCAGTTCTATCCCCACCTCTCTAAATGCTGCAGCAGACCTTCTCAGCCTTGAGTTGGTAGGGGGAGGGTGCCATCCAATGGTCAGCCACAACCCCCATTCCTTTTGGGTTTCCTCACAGTGAGGTCCCCTTGGTTCTCACTCTGAACTTTCAAAGAATGGAATCTGGTCCTTATCTCACTTTGTGTACTCTTGGATGGCCTTTTCCCATTCCTGGGCCTCAACTTCCTCAGTTGGGCAAGAGGGGAAGGAAGGGGTCCTGACTGACAGAGTTGCCTCTCCCCTCCCCCATGATACAGGGGTCTCCTGAGAGTGTGATTGAGTGCTGCAGCTCAGTCCGAGTGGGAAGCCACACGGTACCTCTGAATGCCACCTCCAGGGAGCAAATCCTGGCCAAGATTCGGGACTGGGGCTCAGGCTCAGACACACTGCACTGCCTGGCGCTGGCCATTCGGGATGCACCCCCATGGAAGGAGGATATGCAGCTGGATGACTGCAGCAAGTTTGTGCAGTACAAGGTGGGTGGCAAAGCAGAGCCCCTGGGCTGGGAGCTGTGTGTCTCCCTGCAAAGGCTGGGTAGGTAGGAGGTTGAGCATGGGCTCAGACCCCACTTGCATATGCTCCCTCCCTACAGATGGACCTGACTTTTGTGGAGTGTGTGGGCATGCTGGACCCCCCAAGGCCTGAGGTGGCTGCTTGCATTGCACGCTGCCACCAAGCTGGCATCCGTGTGGTCATGATCACAGGGGACAACAAAGGCACAGCTGTGGCCATCTGCCACCAACTTGGCATCTTCGGGGACACAGAGGATGTGGTAGGGAAGGTCTACACAGGTCGCGAGTTCAATGACCTCAGCCCTGAGCAGCAGCGCCATGCCTGTCGCACAGCATGCTGTTTTGCCCGTGTAGAACCCGTGCACAAGTCCCAGATCATAGAGAACCTACTGTCCTTTAACGAGATCACTGCCATGGTGAGGCCACAAGATGGGAGCCTAGTGGAGGTGGGGAGGTGTGGAGGGAACACTGGCCATGGAGCTTAGCAAGAGCAACCCATACAACCTCTGCCTCTGATTCATTCTTATTTTTTCAAACATTTTATTACAAAAAAATCTCAAACACAGAGAGAAGTGAAAATAGTTTTATAGTGAACACCTGTAATATCTATGATCTAGATTCTACAAGTAACGTTCTATTTGCTTTGCAAATACCTACCCATCTATCCAACTTTAATCCATCTTTTCTTAAATAAATTTCAAAGTAAGTTGCAGATGTCAGTACACTTCACCCTCACATAATTTAGAATGCATGCTCTAGAGAGGAGCATTTTTTTGTGGTTCTATTTTTTTTCCTTTTTGAGGCAAAACTTACATGCAATAAAATGCACAATCTTGAGCATATCATTCATTTGATGTGTTTTGATAAGTGCAGACACACCTTTGCATGTCATCCAAACCATTATCAAGATGAGGAACATTACTACGGACACAAGAAGTTCCCTCATGTACCTTCCCCATCGGGCTCCCCTCTCACAACAGGCCATTTTTTTCACCATAAATTGCCTGTCCTCGATTTTCATATGAATGGGATCATATAGTATGCACTCTTGTGTCTGGCTTTTTTCTTCTGAAATTTATCCATGTTTTTTGGGTATCAGTAGATGACTGCTTTTTTTATCATTAGTAGCATTCCACCATGTAAATATAACCACAATTTATCCATTCACCTTTGGATGGACCTTTTGTTTGGGCCCAGTTTTTGTCTCATTCTTGATTACAGACCTATTCGCAACACTGTCTTGATTCTTGACCCCAGTCTCACTCCTGACCTAGCCTCTGTTGATGTTCACCCCCACTCCTTCATCTTGACTTTAATGTTAACCTGTGACCCAGTCTTGACCTTGACACTGAGTTGGTCATCAATCTTGACTACAGTTTTAACCTGGTTCTTGACTTTATTTTTGACCTTCATGTTGACTTGGTTCCTGACCTTGAACTTGACCATCTTAATCTGATTTTTACTTTGAGCTCAACCCTGTCATGGGCTGCAGTCTTGACCTGCACCCTGACCTGATCCTTGACATTGATCTTGACCCCTAACCCAATATTTTATGTAGACCTCAACTTTAAATGGCCTCTAATCTTGACCTTGATTGCATCTCCAACCTTGACTATGACATCACTCCTGATGTGGACCATAACCTTGATTTGGCATCCGATTTTGACTTGACCTTTACCTTAGTCTAATTTTTAGTTTTGAACCTGAGTCCATTGTTGACCTTGACCTTCACCTTGGCTCCAAACTTTACCTTAGCTATCACGCTTACCTGGTCCTTTAAATGAGCCACAGCCTAGACCTCATCCTTGACTTAACCTTAATTTTGTCCTGAACCTCAATTTCATCTTCTGTACCACATCCAACCTGAATTTCATCTCCACCATGATCAGAGATCCACCTTATTTCCCAAATCCACCTCACCAGGAAGATGAGAACATTCAAACTGATCTCCTCTTCAAAATTGTGCTGGTCTGCAACCCTTGCCTTCCCTTAAGCCTCATCCCCAGCCCAATCTCTAAGTTCATTTTCAACCTCACCATTTTTCTATTCAGCTGTCTGCTTCCTTGGGGACATCTCCTGGGTTTGGGGATAGGCTTAGTTGAGAGAGGTCAAGGAAGGAGAGTGAAGTTCCTTAGGCATGATCCTACCTAACTTGGCCCCTAGACTGGAGATGGGGTGAATGATGCCCCAGCTCTGAAGAAAGCAGAGATTGGTATTGCCATGGGCTCTGGCACAGCTGTGGCCAAGTCAGCAGCCGAGATGGTGCTATCAGACGACAACTTTGCCTCCATCATGGCTGCAGTGGAGGAGGGCCAGGCCATCTACAACAACATGAAGCAATTCATCCGCTACCTCATCTCCTCCAATGTAGCCGACGTTGTCTGGTGAGGCCCTGTATTTCCTCTTCCCAGCCTTCTGGACCAGCTCTAGGTCACCAAGGGAAATGCCTGATCCTGGGATGGGGCTATAGGGATTGAGGGACACATATCCTGCTCTGGCTGGGGCCTTCTAGGATCTCACCTCAAAGAGGGCAGGGGCAGGAGCTCCTCATCATTCCTCCAGAGGTCTTGGTGTACGTACTCCAGCCCCCAAGGAGGTGCCTAAAAAGTCCCCTATCATCCCTCTAGCCATAATTCCTACATTCAGAGTTGGCAAGATGTGAGAACTAGCTGCTCTTCAGGGCAGTAATGTGTTTACATGTGTACATGAATGTGTGCACACAGCTGAGTGTGAGCATGATGTGTGTGTACCCAAGTGAAAAGTGTGTGTACACATGTGCATGTGTGCTTTTGTAAATCTTTGGGCATACGTATAAGCACAGAGGATTTGTGCCAGTATATAATTTGTACATTCTTGGGTTCATATGTGAGAGATGCCTATGGGGAATGGTGAGCACATGTTTGCCTGGACACATGTGAATTCTGCCATCTCTACATATCCAGATAAGCATCTAGGTTCTTGTGTTTGTGTGATTGTGTGGCCTGTGCTAAGTTTTGCTCCTGTCTGAAAAAAAAAAAAAAAACCCTGTGTATGTACCTAGGCATGTGTTGTCCACATGCATACATGCCCTAAAGGAGTTATGGCTTAAAGAGGAGAGGCCTAAAGAGCAGATTTGTCCAGGCTCCAGACTTGAGATTGGGAGCAGGAGTGACTGAGTGTGTGGCAGGACCATGCACCCACATCAGAACTAGCAAAGTGAGATGGGGTTCCTGTGGAGACAGTAGGTGAGCTTCCCAGCCTGGGGTATGAGTAGGAGCAGGACCTTCCAGTTGCTGGGGACTAGAGCCTATGACTCTGGTTCCAGCATCTTCCTCACGGCAATTTTGGGCCTCCCGGAATCCCTGATCCCTGTGCAACTGCTCTGGGTGAAACTGGTGACAGATGTTCTACCTGCCACAGCCCTGGGCTTCAACCCACCAGACCTGGACATCATGGAGAAGCTGCCAAGAAACCCTCATGAGGCCCTCATCAGTGGCTGGCTCTTTTTTCGATATCTGGCTATTGGAGGTGAGTGGGGCCCTCAGTGGAGTTTCTTGAGAGTTTCTATCATTTAGGCTTGCAAAGTACAGATAGTATGACTGAGCCTGTCTTATGCCAAAAGAAATTGTGGACTCATCCAATGGGAAAGACTAGTGCATGCCTCAGGTATGGCTGGATCCAGGCCTCAGTTTGTTGGCACGTTTTGGCTCTGCCTCAACTCCATGCTTAGGCAGGTGCCCCTTGGAATGGAAGGATGGCTGCTGCAGCTGTAGCCCTCATGTTTACTCCATTATAACCCAAATTCAACAGAAGAGAGAGCTATCCCTCAGTAATATGATAAAAGTCTCAGGCCCGTTCTTGGCCCACATTGGGTCACGTGCTTATCTCCTAGCTAATCACCATGGCCAGGGGTGTGGCAGATGCTGATTGCCAATCGGGGCCCACCATTGTTACTAGGGACAGGTGCTTGCAAACCACGGGGCTCAGAGAGGGAGAAGGTGGTTCCCTGACAGAGGAAATTCAGGTGATTATTAGGAAAGGGAAATGGTTGCCAGAAAACCACAGCTAGCCACTATAGCCAGTTTCCTCCTGTCCTCCTTGCAGTGTACGTGGGCCTGGCCATGGTGGCTGCCGCCACCTGGTGGTTCCTTTATGATGCCAAGGGACCTCACGTCACCTTCTACCAACTGGTAAGCAAGGACGGCCAGGGACCATGTTGGGATTATTTTTGAGGTAGAACTCACAGCCCAAGTAGTTGTTGGAGTTCCAGGGGAAAGGGATCTGTAACCCCATGGTTGGCCTTGGCTGTGCCTCCCTACCCCCATACACATACATAGACATCCACCATCTAAGGAGCTGATCTCAGAAGCCACTGGGAACTACTAGAGATAGCAACCGAGCTCCTGAGCCAGAGAAGTGGTTACTCCTTCTCCCATTCATTTGGTTAGGGGGCTAGCAAGGGGCATAACTGTGCAGAAGTATCTTACCTTTATCAGGGAACCCCTGATAAATTGAGGGCTGTAAATAATTGAGGGCTCAGAAATATGAACCCCTGAAATGTAAAACTTCAGGCAGAGGGCCGAAGAAAGGGGACTGAGAGTGGAAGGAAGGAATCTGCCAGGCTCCTCCTCCACCTCTGTAACAACACACTTCTTGAGAAAGGGATCCACTGACCTCTTCAAGTCACCTGGTTAGCTGGTGCCCACAACAGAGCTAGCTTAGCTCAGCATAGCTCTAGAAGCAAGCAAGGAGACCCCTCAGCAGCTGTCTGTCAGTCTGTCCCTCTGTCTGGGCATTTCCTTTTTTATTTTTAAAGGTTTATTTATTTATTTGAGAGAGAGAGAATAAACATGGGGTAGAGAGGAAGAGGGGAAGGGAAAAAGAATCCAAGCAGACTCCATGCTGAGTACAGAGCCCAATGCGGGGGTCAATCTCACAATGCTGAGATCACAACCTGAGCCAAAACCAAATTGGGCACTTAACTGACTGTGCCACCTGGGCACCACTGCCTGGGCATCTCCTTTACCTCAAAGAATGTTTGCACCAAATCTAGCAAAGCCAGTTGTGAATTTTTCATTTAAAGCTGAGAGCTGCAGCGATTTAGGATCTTCTTCCTCTGATTGTACCTGTCTTTGTTACCTTCTTGTAGATAGAAGAGCTCAAAGGGGGTACCTGACCCTTTGCCATGTCACTGGCTGTCGTCCCTGGGAGGCTCTGTGATTTCGGGCATTATTGCAGTATTCACATCTAGGTACAGGTAGCTCAGGGACACTTTCCTGGTACCCACTAGCCCTCAAGCATGTGGGCTCTCCGTCCTGGCAGCAGTGCAGAGCACAGGCCCACACTCTCATCCCAAAGGCTGATGCCCCCCAGCCCTTGGCAGAAAGACAACTCAGGCCAGCCTTAGGCACCCTCTGCTCATTTAGCTCCTATGGGAGCAGCAAGGTATAGAGCAATGGTGTGCTGACCATCCTGTCTCTGCCTTCTTCTGACACTCTCTCTATTACCCTCCTTTATCAATAGATCTCAAATGTCCCAGGACAGCCCACCCGCACCCTGATCTTTCTTCTGAGCCTAGTCCCATATATCCAGGGGGTATCTCCTCTGGGATGTCCTATAGGCCCATTACACTTAACAAAATCAAATCTATCACCTTTCTCCAAATAATCCCTTTCCTTTACCCCCATCTCTGCTCTACTGCTGACCTGGTCACCCATGCCAGACAGCTGGAGGTCATACCCCACACCCACTACTCATTAGTCCCCAGTCCCATTGGTGCCACCTTACCAACTGTCTTCAGGTTATTCCATTTCTCATTTATCTGTCTGGCCAAGAAATGGCTAGTAAGCATCGACTGGATGCCAGTCACCAAGCAGACCAAGGCCCCACAAAGACCTGGGAAGAGCATGGAAGTGGCAGTCACATTTTAAGGTGAAAAGCTTCAGCTGGGGTCCTGGGTGGCTCAGCTGGTTAAGCGACTGCCTTCGGCTCAGGTCATGATCCTGGGGTCCTGGGATCGAGTCCCACATCGGGCTCCCCCTGCTCTGTGGGGAGCCTGCTTCTCCCTCTCCTTTCAGCCTAGTATTCCCCATCTTGTGCACGCTCTCTCTGTATCAAATAAATAAATAAATGTAATAAAGAAATAAAATTTTTAAAAAGAAAACAAAAGAAAATCTTCAGCCAAAAATATATAGGTGGCTGTGGGACTTAGAGGTGGTCAATGGTTAGACCTAAGGTAGAACTTTTAGCTTCGGTTGTTGGAGTTTCAGCAGAACTGCCTAGAACCGCTCTTGGTTCCTGAAGGAAGCTGTCAAAAGGCAGCAGAGTGGTTAAGAGCACAGAGCATGGAGCCTAGTTCTGCTGCACACTGGCTGTGTAACTTTGGACAGTCTATTTAATGTCTCAGTTTCCTCATCTATAAAATGGGTAATAATGGTCCCCGCCTCAGCCTCATAAGGCTATCAGGAGGATGAACGGAGTGATTTCTTGTAAAGTGCTTAGACCAACATTTGGCACGTAGTAAGAATTGTGTAAGTATTAATTATATTAATGAAATACAGAGAAGCCCATGTAGGATAAGGTAAATAGGAAATAGCCAGGGAAGCAAAGGGAAGGAGTAGGCAGAACAGTGGCGTCACCCAGAGAAAACAAGCCCCCACCCCCACAAGGCTCACAATGAACCTATGAGACCAAAGTTCTAGCCCTGAGTACCTTCTAATAAACAATTCAAGAGGCCAAACCATGACTCATGACCAGGGGCACAATGCTCAAAAACCCAGAAGGTCTGAATGGGCAGGGCGTTTCTCTATAGCAACATCTCGATATGATCCTGTTTGTCTTTTTTTCACCCTGCACATGCATAAGGCTCCAGGCTTGCACAGGCTCAAGTGGGAGGTGTGTACACTGCATTCGTATGCACATGTCTGTGTAGGCCATTAAGATCTGGGAAAGTGGGGCCTGACCAGAGTGGTACAATAAGAAGTGGCCCTTGGTCTTCCTGTTCTCTGGGTGGAATCAAATTTCAGGACATTTTCTTTGCTCTATGATCAGTGCCAAATAAAAACATACACTTGTTCCAAATACTGGAGCTTGATTTTGGAGAAACTCTCCCTGTTGATTTAAATGAGACAAGAATCTCCATCTCTTTGTTAAAATAAGAAATCTAACCAAGCCATAGACTTTTAGAAATTTTCATCCTGCATGAGAGAGAAGAGGAAAGTCTTAGCGGCTCCTTCTGGCTGACAGTCACCTTACCCATATTTATGAAGTGTGGGAAAATGGATCTATTTACTGGACAGGAGCTCAGACAGCCTGTCATCGTATAGATTTCTCTATGAGGGTGGATCCAGTTTTTAAACCTTTAGCTGAAAAGATCTCTGTGTTCAGATGATAGTCCAGAGAACAAATTTATGTTATTGGAAGAAGGAAGCTGTTTAACTGTTACAAACATTCACACTCATCCCAGTATTGTGGAAGAAAACAGAGTAGTTCTCACGCATGTCCTCAGCTCAACATCTTATCACAGAAGAATCTGTAAGTGAAGTCTATGAACAGGAAGAACACTGTCCCCTGGGACTGCAGCGGCAGTGGCCACATCCTCTATAGAGCCCTGAGATCTTCTTCTTAATTATGAAGAAGCCATGTAGTAAGCCTGCACCTAGCAATTTATTAATCCACATTGTAAGCAAACGGCGAGTCTGGTAGAGCTCAATTTCAGTGGCAGAAATGGAGGGAGATACAAATGGAATCTTATTTAATAGCAGTGATTAGGGTACATGCAGCCTTTTCTACCCACCAAAGGTGAATTCTATTCAAGCAATTTGGCTAATTGGCTTTCATGTACATTTACTTATTCCATGGCCCCAGTAAGTGACCACCCCCACTCCTGCACCTCCGATATTCCAGGCACCTTCAGGGTAGAGCCCCCATATCCTCCTCCCTCTCAGCCCAGGGCCCTCTTCTGTCCTCCCCATCCTAATGCTAGCTGCTCTCCCTCTGTCCCTCCATACCCCTGCCCCACAATGGCCTGCCTTTTTCTCCAGCACCATGTAGCCCCTCCTTGGGCCCCATCCTTGATCAGTGCCCCTCCTTGGGCCCACCGCATGGCAGCACTTTGCCCAGTGGTTGTATTATGTTCTCAGATGGGGGTTGAAGATGGAACCAGGCTTCCCTCTTCCCACACACTGGCCCCTCCCCTGATCACTGTTTTCCCTAACCCCACCCCACCCCACCTTGGTGCCCTCAGAGGAACTTCCTGAAGTGCTCCAAGGACAACCCACTCTTTGCTGACATTGACTGCGAGGTCTTTGAGTCACGCTTTCCCACAACCATGGCCTTGTCTGTGCTGGTGACCATTGAAATGTGCAACGCCCTCAACAGGTGGGCTAGGTAGAGGGGCCTGGAGCTGGGGCTGAGAGAGTGGGAGTGAGGCCTAAGTTGGGGGACTGAGGGTCAGTCAGGGCCCAGGTCTGAGGATCAGGGGGGTTGGGATTAGGGCCTAAGTGTCAGAGGGTCCCAGAGTGGCTTTTGAGAGTAAGTGGGGCCAGAATTGAGATCTAGGGAACAAAGAGGGCCATGATCGGGGCCTGAATAAATAGAGGGGCCAAGATTGGGTCTGAGGGACAGAGAAAGGGCATCCAAGCCCTAGGACAGGCCACTGGGACAGGGGGCTGAGCAAATAACTGTGACCCACCCCTTCTGGCTACACCGGCCTCCCAGAAGTGCCCCAACCTATAGGCCCAATTAGGGAAATGCTGAAGCCCAGGCCACCCCCACGCCTCCACATGGGTGGATGGCTGCCCACAGCAGGGCATGCTCACATCCGGGCCTGCAGTGAGCACCCTGTGCCCTTGGCAGTGTATCAGAGAACCAGTCGCTGCTGCGGATGCCACCCTGGCTGAACCCTTGGCTGCTGGCCGCTGTGGCCATGTCCATGCACTTCTTCATCCTACTGGTGCCACTCCTGCCCGTCAGTTTCCACCCTGCCCCAATCTTCTTCTGTGACAGGGTCCAAACCCTCCTGCAACAGCCTGGCCCTGGGTTGGTCACTGGGCCTCTCTGGGCCCTTTTCCATGGAGGACTGGGAGTGGAGAGATCTTAAGATGCTTGGTACAGACAGCTTGTGCCTTGGGGACCCTCAGATTTGGGAAACTGAAGAGGCAGGGATAAGACCTCTTGCTATGGGGACTCTCCCGATGCCAGGGTGGGAGGAGACTATGTTCCTCCCCAGCACAGAATCCCACCCACTTATCAGGCAGGACCAGGAAGATTTGGTAATTGGGTGAGGGGGGGGAGGGCAGGCACTCTGGTAGAGGAACCAGGGTAGACAAAGACCTGGATGTGGGACCTCAAGGAGCATCTTAAAATTGCTCATGAGGAGTCCATTGTAGCCCAAGTGTATGAAGCAGATAGATTGTGGGGGCATACCTTTAACCACGCCCCCCCCCGCCGCAGCTTATTTTCCAGGTGACCCCACTGAGCAGGCGCCAGTGGGTGGTGGTGCTCCAGATATCTCTGCCTGTCATCCTGCTTGATGAAGCCCTCAAGTACCTGTCTCGGAACCACATGGATGGTGAGTGGGAATCTCCAGAACCTCCCCTCCCTGTTTGTTTCCAGCCTGCTTCCCTGCCCCCTCCCTGCCTGCCTCTGCTCCCAGGCTGCAGCCTCCCTGTCTGTCCAGGAAAAGAAGTATTCTTGGATCAGCAAGTGGAGGACAAGGAGGGGCTCTGCTCTGGTGACTAGGGCTTGTGGTATCAGCAGGGTCTTATGGCCAAGAGCACTGCTCAGAGCCCTGCTCCCTCGTTCTCCTCACTCACCACCAACCCTGCGTGCCCAGGCCCCCTGTACCCTTCTTTGGGCCTTGGCCTCTAGATCCTCTAAACCCAGCCTGTCTTTAGGCATGCATTCTCAGGACAGTCTCCTGGGCATGGAGTGGGCAGCTACTGACCACCTCTGGGACCCCAGACCACACTGGATTGCCCTCTTTGGTGTCACCTCATAGGAGGGTAGAAGAGGGGGTTCTCTGTTTCTGAGCTCACAGCTCTGGGTCTACCTTAATCTGGTACTGGAGGGAAAATGGCAGTCAGGTTTGGGGGCAGCGTCGCAGGGGAGGCTGGGGACCCCTGCTGGCAGAGGAGCCTCAGAGAGTAGGTGATTCTGAACCTCCCGAGGGTGAGGGAGCCAGGATCTTCTCACTGTCAGAGCTGCTTAGAGTGAGAAGCAGGGGCAAAAAAAAAAAAAAAAAAAAAAAAAAAACCTCCCTGTTCCTGGGAGTGCGAACCAAGGCAGTAGCCCCCAGGCCAGGCTGCTGCGGAGGGTCTGGATTAGGCCCAGCAATGGCCAAGGCCTGCCCTGTAGCAGCTGGGTCCTTGAGGGCCATCTCTGGCAGGGATGTGTCCCAGCTTCGGGAGGGAGTCTGAGTTGGAGGGTCTATAAATAGATCACCTGCTTGTCATTCCATAGGGGCCAGGGCAATTAATCGGCTCCTATCTCCCACGCTGGCCAGTGCTCCTGGGTGCTGCAAACATTTTATCTTATTAAAGAGGCCAAAACAAGTCAGCCTCCTCTCTCTGGGGAAGCTGGCCCACCGCAGGTCTGTCCATAGCAGACACACACAGAGAGGCTTACCTGAGGGTAGAAGTAGGTACTCAGCCAATGCAAGACATTGTTAGAGCACATGGGTGAGGAAGCAGGAAGCAAGGCAAGACATTTTGCCCCCTGTGTGGTTCTTTCTGACCCACTCACTGTGGATACTCTTAGGGAGCTGAAGAAGGTGAAATAGGTCAATCACCGAAAACTCCATTCTCGGAGCCCAGGGCCTCCACATTTCTGGCTGAATCACAGAGGTGGTCTAAGGAAATCCACCCACCAACCTTGATTGCACTAACTCACCTGAGAAGTCAAGCCTCATTGGCAGCTCAGGCAGCTTCTCTGTCTTCCTTGAGAGCTTTCCCTAGCAGCCACAACTGCCAAGGAGTTCAGCACATTTTCTTAAGAAAACTTAGAAAATTTCTTAGCCAATGGGGAAGAGGCTGTGTCTCGGGCACTGTTCAGTCCCGGCTGCTGGGTGGTGGAGGATTTGGGAGGGGGCCCCTAACAGGATGGATCAGATTGGAAGGAGCAATCCCTGCTGGGTCAAGGGTTGGAACTGATTTCTAGAAGCGATAAGTCTGAGCAGAGGTTTGAAAGGGGAGGATGGAAGTTGGTGGAGAAAGAGCTAAGCAGCATGGTTTGGCATCTCTAGTGGGGCTGGGGGCTCAGAGTGCAAGGTAGAGAAGTAAGGCTAGAGTGTGAAAAGGGCCTTGAATGCCAGATTAAGGACTCTGGACATTATCTTCAAGGCAGTGAGAACCACAGAAGGGTGGAAGCATGGAAGGGACTGGGATAACATGGAGGACACATGGGAGGGGCAAGGCAGGGAGGCTGATGGGTTGTGTGGAGCTGATCTCAGGGCAGACACTGAGTTCAGCCCAGAGCGAGCTGGTTCTGGGCAACACCTCCACCTCCACCATGAACCTGAGATGTTGACTATGGTCCTGGTGAGGCTTGGCTTGAAAGGGTGGTGCCCTGCTCTAGGGAGTGGCTGTATGGGTGTGAACTGACTGTGTTGAAAACATGAAGAGTCGCATATACGGCCCTAGTCTCAGGTGTCCATACAGGTGAACATAGGAAAGTCTGTGTTCAGTGAAACTTCTTCAGGTGGACCCCCTTTTGCGGCAGTGTACTCACAGTTCAGGAAAGAGGATAGAACAAGGACGGACTCTAGGCAGGTTGTACACTCTGTGTTAAGGGTAGGCCACGGCCCTTAGGCTTCCAAAACATGGAATGGCAGAGCACGACCTGTGGTCACCCAAACTTTCTACCTCTGTCGAAAACTCTTCAATCGTAGTGAGGGAAGTGTGCCTTAGGACGGAATCGCTACAATTTTGAGATGGTCGAACCATGGAAGCTGTTGGATCTGAATGTGTTGAAAATATGAAGAGTCGCGTACAGAGCCCCAGACTCAGACGTCCATACCGGTGACCATAGGAAAGTCTTTGTTCAGTGAAACTTCTTCAGGCTTACACCCATTCGTGGCAGTGTCTTCCCAGTTGAGGAAAGAGGATAGAACAAGGACGGACTCTGGGCTGGTTGGATACTCAGGGTTAAGTGCAAGCCTTGGCCCTTAGGCGTCCAAAATATGGAATGGCAGATCACGAACTGTGGTCATCCAAACTGTCTACATCTCTCGAGAAGGCTTCAATCCTGGTAAGAGATGTGTGCTTTAAGACAGACTCAAGACAGTTTTGAGAGGGTCGAAAGATGGAAGCTGTTGGAATGGACTGTGTTGAAAACATGAAGAGTCGCGTACAGGGCCCTAGTCATGGACGTCCATACCTATAACCATAGGAAAGTCTCTGTTCAGTGAAACTTCTTCAGGTAGACACCCATTCCTGGCAGTGTCTTCCCAATTTAAGAAAGAAGACAGAACAAGGACGGACTCCAGGCAGGTTGCATACTCAGGTGCTAGTGCAGGCCACGGCCCTTAGGCTTCCAAAACATGGAATGGCAGAGCACGAACTGTGGTCATCCAGTAAACGTCTGTCGAAAACTCTTCAAATGTAGTGAGGGAAGTTTGCTTTAGGACAGACTCGTGAAAGTTTTGAGAGGGTAGAAAATGGAAGCTGTAGGAACTGATGGTGTTGAAAACATGAAGAGTCGAAGACTTCGCCCTAGTCTCTGACATCCATACCAGTGACCATATGAAGGTCTGTGTTCAGTGAAACTTCTGACGGCAAACACCCATTTGTGGCAGTGTCTTCACACTTGAGGAAAGAAGATAGGACCAGGACGGTCTCTGGCAGGTTGGATACTCAGGGTTAAGTGCAGGCCAAGTCCCTTAGGCTTCCAAAACATGGAATGGCAAAGCACGATCTGTGGTCATCCCAGCTGTCTACCTCTGTCGAAAAGGCTTCAAACCTGGTGAATGATGTGTGCTTTAGGACGGACTTGTGACAGTTTTCAGAGGTTGGAAACATGGAAGCTGTTGGAACTGAGTTGAAAACATGAAGAGTCACGTACACGGCCCTAGTGTTGGACATCCATAGCTGTGACCATAGTAAGGTCTGTATTCAGTGAAACTTCTTCAGGTGGACACCCATTTGTGGCAGCGTCTTCCTAGTTGAGGAAAGGAGATAGAACAAGGATGGACTCTGGCAAGGTTGGATACACAGAATTAAGTGCAGGGCATGGCCTTAGGCTTCCAAATCGTGGAATGGCAGAGCACGAACTGTGGTCATCCAACTTTCTACCTCTGTCCAAAACCCTTCAAATTTGGTGAGGGAAGTGTGCTTTAGGACGGACTTGGGACAGATTTGAGAGGGTAAAACATGGAAGCTGTTGGAACGGATGGTGTTGAAAACATGAACACTCGCATACAGGGTCCTAGTCTCGGACGTCCATACCGGTGACCACTGTGTTAAGTGAAACTTCTTCAGGTTGATGCCCATTCGCAGCAGTGTCTTTGCAGTTGAGGAAAGAAGATGGAACAAGGATGGACTCTGGGCAGGTTGTATAATCTGAGTTAAGTGTAGGCCATGGCCTTTAGGCTTCCAAAACGTGGAATGGCAAAGCACGACCTGTGGTCATCCGAACTGTGTATCTCTGTGCAAAAGTCTTCAATCCTGGTAAGGGATGTTTGCTTTCAGATGGACTCGCGACAGTTTTGAGAAGGTTGAAACATGGAAGCTGTTAGAACTGACTGTGTTGAAAATGTGAAGAGTTGCGTACAGGGCCTTGGGCTCAGACATCCATACCGGTGACCATAGGAAGGTCTGTGTCCAGTGAAACTTCTTCAACCAACATGCATTCGTCACAGTGTCTTCCTACTTGAGGAAAGAAGATAGAGCAAGAACGGACTGTGGGCAGGTTGGATACACTGAATTAAGTGCAGGACATGGCCATTAGGCTTCCAAAACATGGAATGGCAGAGCACGAACTGTGGTCCTCCAAGCTGTCTACCTCTGTCTAAAACCCTTCAAATGTGGTGAGGGAAGTGTGCTTTAGGACGGACTTGGGACAGTTTTGAGAGGGTCAAAACATGGAGGCTGTTGCAACTGGCTGTGTTGAAAAAAGGAAGAGTCTTGTGCAGGGCACAATCCCTGATGTCCATACCTGTGACCATGGGAATGTTTGTGTTCAGTGAAATTTCTTCAGGCGGACACCCATTCGTGGCAGTGTCTTCAAAAGTTGAGGTAAGAAGATAGAACACAGAGGGACTCTGGACAGGTTGGATACTCTGTGTTAAGTGCATGCCACAGCCCTTAGCATTCCAAAACATAGTATGGCAGAGCACAACATGTGGTCAACCAAACTGTCTAACTCTCATGAAAAGTCTTCAAAACTGGTAAGGGTTGTGTGCTTTAGGACAGACTCGTGACAGTTTTGAGAAGGTCGAAACATGGAAGCTGTTGGAAATGACAGTGTTGAAAACAAGAAGAGTCACGTACAGGGCCCTAGTCTCTGACATCCATACCGGTGACCATATGAAGGTCTGTGTTCAGTGAAACTTCTTCAGGCGGACACCCATTCATGGCAGTGTCTTCCCTCTTGAGGAAAGAAGATAGAACATGGAAGAACTCTGGACAGGTTAGATAATCTGAGTTAAGTGCAGGGCACGGCCCTTAGGCTTCCAAAACATGGAATGGCAGAGCATGACCTGTGGTCATCCAAACTGACTACCTCTGTCAAAAAGGCTTCAAACCTGGTAAGGGATGTGTGCTTCAGGACGGATTCGCGACCGTTTTGAGAGGGTCAATACATGGAAGCTGTTGGACCTGACTCTGTGGAAAACATGAAGATTCGCATACAGGGCCCTAGTCTCAGACGTCCATACCAGTGGCCATAGGAAGGTCTGTGTTCAGTGAAACTTCAGAAGGCAGACACCCATTTGTGGCAGTGTCTTCCCAGTTGAGGAAAGAAGATCGAACAAGGACGGGCTCTGTGCAAGTTGGATACTCTGAGGGAAGTGCAGGCCACCGACATTAGGCCTCCAAATTATGGAACAGCAGAGTACGGGATGTTTTCATTCAAACTATCTACCTCTCTTGAAAATGCCTGAAACGTGGTAAGGGACGTGTGCTTTAGGACGCACTCGTGACAGATTTGAGAGGATCAAAACATGGAAGCTGTTGGAACTGAGTGTGTTGGAAACATGAATAGTCATATACAGCGCTCTAGTCTCAGACGTCCATAGCGGTGACCACAGGAAGCTCTGTGTTCAGTGAAACTTCTTCAGGCAGACCCCCATTCATGGCAGTGTATTTGAAGTTGAGGAAAGAAGATAGAAAAAGGACAGACTCAAGGCATGTTGTATACTCTGAGTTAAATGTAGGCCATGGCGCTTAGTCTTCCAAAACATGGAAGGCAGAGCAAGACCTGT